AGTCTTCTCCCCTCCCCCAACACCGAAGCATGATGATGCAGAAAGCCATCTCCAGGTCCCCAGGAGGCTGCCCACCTCCCCCACTGGCCCAGCACACCATTTCTCTCTTCCTTTTCCTGCCCTTTCCATTCCTGCCTCCAGCCCCCTAGAAGGTTCCAGCTCGCTTCAGGCAGGACAGGCTCTGAAGACTCATCCTCCCAAGTTAGACCAAAGGCCAGGTGGCCGCCTTCGTGGGGTGGGTCCCTCTGTCGAGGGACAGCACCTTCTTGAAGTCCATTGGCTCTCCAGCTCCAGCCCAGTGCTACAAGAACCATACTGACACTGGTCCTCCCCAGAAGACTGAGACCATTTCTCAGTCATCCTAGGTGTTCCCGGCATGGCTTCTGCCCCCTTATACCAGAAGAAGGTCTCTCCTTTCTCTGGAGCTTTCCTTTCCTCCTGTTCATGGCATGGGCCTCCTGGTCTTCATGCTCACCGCAGCCATCCATCCGTGTGATCTTTGCAGGACCGTGTGAAGCTGCTCTCCAATAGCGGTCCTTATTGTTTTCTTTCTCTAGGCGGGTTCTGCCTCTTTTGCCCCAAGGCCTTTGCACAGGTTTGTGTCACCATCTATCTTATTCCTGTTCAGATGCACACGCGTGTACACACACCTGCTGAACTCTCCGCAGCTCTGGTATTTAGTGGGGCCCCTGAAGTTCAGGTTGGTGGGCCGCTGCCTGAGCCTTGTGTTCCCCATTTCCTCTCCTGTCAGACAGGAGCAGTAACAGCACCGCCATCAACTGGTGTGCGCATGCAGATGCCAGTGTGTGACAGGCGTGAGGGGTGGGCGGTGCTGGCAGTGGACGTTGTGATGCTTCCACCGTGGCGGTTGCTCCTCCTCTCCTAAGGTGTGTAATGTGGCACGTGACTGGATGGGTAGTGTGCTGGCCCTGTTAGGGGTGGGGTATGCCAGCTCAAGTTCTGTCAGGTACTGTTGGGAGTGTTTTTGATTTTTTGTTTGTTTTTTTTTGAGACAGGGTCTCTGCATAGCTCTGGCTGTCTTGGAACTCTGTATAGACCAGGCTGGCCTCAAACTCACAGAGATCCCCGTCTCCTGAGCCTTGTGATTAAAAGCCTCCATGCCCATCTTTCCTGTCAGGGTTCGATGCCTGCTAGGCACTCCACAGGCCTGGCCTGGCAGACTCCAGGCACCTAGATTGTTGCAAGCAGGCTGGGAATTGTGCTTAGGAGGAAGTTGGGGTGGACACATGGATTGAGGCCTCCAGCTATAGAAACCACCCTCTGTGTCATCCACCCCACGGAGCAGTCTCAACTGGGGAAGGAGAGGAGGATCTGAGCGGAGTGTTATTTTTGTAACCAAGTATAAAAAGTATGAATTTTTAATGTCCTTTCCAACCTTAGCGCCCTTTGCTAGTCCTGTTGCACGGAGTCGTGGTGACAGCGGTCGTTTGTCTCCTGTGTGGCTTCCTGTTCTTGCCCTCAGCTCAGGACAGGAGAGCCACACACACATCAGCAGACAGCCCCGGGACACTTCAGGGCCAGCAACCAGCACCCCTATCCCTTGCTGGGTGTCCTCCCGGCACCTGCTCTGTGTTCTGCAGTCAGAAAGACAGATGGGTGGGGCACAGCCTCCTCATCAAAGCAGGCCTTTGGCATGTGCACAACACTGAGAGCCTCCTGTACCACCCAGAGCCGAGTGACTGGCTGGCATCACTCTTTTTAATCCTCATCTTAGCAGAGATCATGGTCCCCATTCAGCTTCCTCGTTCACCCGACGTTACGGCAGCTGGCCTCAGTGGCAGAGGCAGGAGCACCTCGTTTACTGCCAGAGGAGACAAGTAAAGATGGAAGGTGTGTTTCAAGGGCAAGCAGTGTGGCAGCCCTGTGAGCACAGGCGGCCTCCACCTGGCCGGTAGGATTTACTCATCGTCTCCGCAGTCTCCTCTAGACTGCAGGAGTGGGCCAAGGACCTGTATAGAGGAGAGGGCAGCCCGCACTTGCTGAGGATTGGCTAGGAGGGAAGCCATCAGTGTGTGTGATTCATCTGGCCCTGACTATCTGCCAGGGCCTGTGACAGATGCTTAACGTGCCTCTCGCCACAGTTAATCGGTAGAGCAACTACAGGAAGCGGGTTCTGATCAATCCATCTTATAGGACAGGAGACAAGCTGCACAGAATAAACACCCAAGAAGCTGGCATTGAGACCCTCATCTGTGCTCCTCCCAGTGTGCTGGAGTAACCCATGAAGGCCTGGGGACCGTGGGCGCCCTTCAGATGCACTCCCTGGGCTCTGGGCAGTGTGCGGGAACCAGGGTGCTGGCCTGCTACGTGCTCAGTGGCTTGGTCACTTTGTGGTTCATCTCTCACAGCAGCATGCTCAGCCCTTGCTGCCACTGCACCCCGGGCCACGTTCCTTGAGCTCTCTTGTAATTAGCAGTGTTAAGGACAGACCTTCAGTGTAGCAGACAGGCAGTCCCGTGCCCCCAGCTCATCCTGACTCTGTACCTGCCCACGGTGTTGTTGGGCAATAAGAAGGCTGTGTGACACCTTTCTCCCATGAGTTCATAATAAAAAGACTGGCCATGACAGTTCACACTTGTCATCCTAGCACTTGGGCGGCAGAGGCAGGAGGATCAAGAGTTCAAAGCTAAGGCAGGAGAGGTGGCTGAGTAGGAAATAGCACTGGCTGCTCTCCCCGGGGCCCGTGTTCAATTTCCAGACCTACATGGCGGCTCACAGCTGTGCAGTTCTAGTTCCGACTACTCAAAGCCTGCGTCAGCTACATTGTGAGAGAGGGACTAGTCCCCAGCCCCCACATACACGCACCCCATCAAAAGTGGGGCCATGAAGACAGCGAAGTGCGTGGACCTGCTGCTGCGTGACCGTGCCGTGGTCTGTGCCTGCAGGCCTGGGGACAGGACGCAGCAAGCACCGTGGAAGGGAGGGACCAAATCCCCAAACACGGCGTTTACCCACTGTAGTGGCCTTAGCGCACAGGCTTTTCACCTGGGCTCCTGTAGTGCCCACAGCCCCGTGGCGCCTTCGTTGCCACGTTTCAGGAGAGGAAATGGATGTCAGGAAAGGGTGAGAAACTTGTCTCAGAGAATTATAACCAGATGTAGACCCGGTTTGTCTGGATTCAGAGCTACAAGGAGGAAGGGAGGGAAAGGGGAGGATCCACAGCCAGCTAGGTGAGAACCTGCTCTGGAACCCCTCCCCCGGGGGAGGAGAATGCAGCCGTGATGACGGAAACCGACGGAGGTGCTGGGAGGCCCACTGCACAGAGGGCCCATCCGAGCGGCCCTGGCTCAGAACTAGATCGGGCGAGCTGTGCCGTGGCTGCTTTTTTTTGTCGTCGTTAGAGACAAATTCCTGCTACATAGCTCAGGTCGGCTTCAAACCGACCTGCCTCAGCCCCCTGAGTGCTGGAATTGGAGTCATGCACCACCACATCCACACGGGCTGCATTTTGAGTGGTGGTTCCGTTGCAAGGCCACTGAGCAGGCAGAGGCACGATTAGTTGAGAGACAGCAGTGTGCAGACAGGAGGGGTCTCTGTCTCCCAGGCAAGGAACTCTGCGTGGCCGCAGGGGTAGATGGTTGAGTTTTGCCCTTCCAGTTGCCGAGTTCTCCCTGTAGGTTGATGTATTAATTAGGCAGCATCTTTGTCTGGGAGGTGCCTTGTGTGGAGTCTGAGTGAGCAGGCCTGAAGGCAGTTGTCAAAACACACGATACTTGGCCAGAGGCTCCACGGAAGCCCCTGGCACCCCGTGTGGCCTTCGCTTACACCCCAGGCATGGAATGTGCTCTTGCATGTCCCTGGCGAGTCGCCCGTTTCTGTTCTGGGGGCTCCTAGGAGAAGCAGAGGCTTGGGTTTTCCCAGGCAGCGCTGTGGGAGGGAGAGGGCCCGTTTCCCCAGAAGACGCCTGGGCTTGCTGGTGTTAACTGATCTGAGTTGCTTCTGTGGCACAGACAACACGCTCCAGCTTGCAGGCCCCGAGTGGCCCTGCCCTTGGGTGTTCTGCCATTGTCTGCAGTGTCGTGGGGTCTGGAACTACAGCCCTCCACTCCAGAACACACGCTTTCGCCTTCTACCTGATCACCAGAGACCCCTCAGCTATGGCTGCCTTCTGCTTGCCTTGCAGCCGCCCCTGAGGCACATCCAGTCTTCAAGAATTGGAAGAATGGGCCATATAGAGAGGTCAAGGGTTTGACCTTCAGACAGCAAACTGGGACCAAGTTGGGGCTTAAAATCCTGGCCTTAAATGGGAGGGCCTGGCTGCTAGGGTGTCTCAGCTCCAAGGAAGACCAGTGAGCTTTGCTCTGTAGAATGCTTTCTTCACCTGGTAGCATTCGTGTCGCGGCTCGTATCTGGTAATAGGAAGGTCCTCCCTCAGCAGGGTGCTAGGTTCAAAAAAAGGAGCCTATGCCCTCTTGGACGTGTGTCTGCCTGGGAATGAGGTCCTATGCTCCTAGGTACGACTGTTTGTAGCATCCAGAACCTACGAGTCAAGCACATCAGGCAGTAGTGCTCTCTGTAGTCTTGGCATCGGGGTCCATATTTGTTCCCCAAGTGACTATGTGACTGGTTGTTTACCATAGGCATCACTGTCCTCTTTAACTACCTGCCCGGTCACTTTTTTTCAAGGCAGGTTTCTCTGTGACTTTGGAGGCTGTCCTGGAACTGGCTCTTGTAAACCAGGCTGATCTTGAACTCACAGAGATCTGTCTGCCTCAGCCTTCTGAGTGCTGGGATTAAAGGCGTGTGCCACCACCACCTAGCTAGCCAGGATCGCTTTTAAGATCAGGGAAAAAAATGTATGTTGGCTGGCTGTGGCACCACACTTCCGTAATCTCAGTATTTGGGAGGTAGGGGTGGAAGGGCCCAGTTCAAGGCCGTCCTGCCTGGGCTGCGTCTTGAGGCATGTGTATTCAGGGGTTGGCTTCAGGATGGAAGCCCTGATGCTGACTCCCTCCATCCCTTCATTTTCCCTTCCCCAGACCTTCACAGCCTGGTGCAACTCCCACCTGCGGAAGGCTGGCACTCAGATTGAGAACATTGATGAGGACTTCCGGGACGGGCTCAAACTCATGCTTCTCCTGGAGGTCATTTCAGGTGAGGCTCAGGGAGCCCCGTGCAGTCCACGCTGCGCCCTGTCCCAACAGGCGCTGACTCTGCCCCCTCACCACCCGGAGGAGCCTGTCACCCGTCAGTGCCTTGGGACAGCTTCAGCCTTTGTGGCGGGGCTGGAGTGGCTTGGGTGGCTGAAAAGACCCCCTCACACCACCTGCCTTCTCTCTCAGGGGAGCGGCTGCCTAAGCCGGAGCGGGGGAAGATGCGCGTGCACAAGATCAACAACGTGAACAAAGCCCTGGACTTCATCGCCAGCAAGGGCGTCAAGCTGGTGTCTATTGGGGCAGAAGGTGAGCAGGGGCGGGTGCCCGCCAGCGCAGGAGCGTTCGGCACTAAAGCCCGGTACCTGTCCGCAGTGGTCAGCAATGGCTGCTGCCCTTGACAGCCTCCCCCTTAAGCAAAAGCCAGTGTGCACCAGGGGTTTCTGTCTGCAAAGAGCATCTCTGCCGCGTCCATATGGATGGAAGGAAATACAATGAGAGGGGGGAACTAATAACCTGAGCAGGGTGTTGGAACAGGGCGTGCAAAGGTCAGCCCCTAGGCTTTGATCCAGCTGCACAGGCTAAGCACATGGCCCTGGACACCCAAGATCCCTCTGTCCTGAGTGGAATCCCTAATCTGTGCCACCAACCCCAGACCAGTTCACCTAGAACAGCAGTTCATGAGGCCCATGGAGCACAGAGGCTGCCAGCTGCCTGGGCTCCCGGCTCTGCTCATTAGTCAAAGCAGAGTTTCTTGTCCTGACATCCGTGTTGTCCCAGCTTTTAGAAAAACAAAGAAAACTAATTGCCGCTAATGACAGGACTGAGAATTTGGCCAGGACTTTAGGCCAGAATGTGCACCTCTGAGTTCCAAGGCCCTGCCCCAGCCTGGGACCTCTAAAGCCTTGCGTGCCACAGTAGAGGTAGTTGATGTTTGTTTAAAAAACCCAAACCCCCAAATTCAGTCAGGCCCAGAGAGTCTCTGTCCTCTGGTGGATCTTTCCTCCGGGCTCCACTCCAGCCCGGCACTCGCACAGCTGCGTTTGTTTTGCTCAGAGGCCGGTCTGTAAACACAGAAGGGTGAAAGAGGGACCCACTTGCCTTCCAGTCTCCTTCATTTGGAGAAAGCTCGGTCTGCAAATGTTCCCTCCCCTTTCAGTCCTAACTGCTCCTGTCCCAATTCCTATGACTGTCACATGTCTAGACAAGGGTCGTGGGCAGTTTCACGGAGAATGCTTGAGAACGCCAGGCCTGGCCCTGATTCCTGGCCCCTCAAATGGTCTGGCAGTTGAGGAACGTGGCTTCTTCCTCAGGGTTATGAGAGGGGCATCTTGAAGCACAGCTGCAGGTCGCAGAAGCAGCTGGTGGATGTGTCGTGCCTCTTGCTCCCAGAGCTCTGGCCAGCCCATACCTGTGTCAGCTATGGGACTGGGGCATGTCCCTTGACTGAAGGAACCTAGCCCTCTTGAAACTTGGCTTAGCGTTTCTGATGGGAGAGCTGTTTGTCCCCGTGCTGTAGCTGAGCAGGTAGGCCTTCTTGGTATCTGGAACTACAGCTGTGCTGTGAATCCTGGGAAGGCGGGACAGACATCCCATTCACCTGCCTTCCCGAGAGCGCAAGTGCTAGAAAGCTTACCTGATATCATGTGACCGAGCTTTAAGTAGGGACACCTACTATGCAGAGGCAGGCTGTAGACTCACCAGGAGGCTGTCCAGTTGAGCAGGAAGAAAGGCAATGGCTGGTCCTTAGTGTAGTCTGCAGTGGACTGAGCAAAGACCTGCTTAGCCCTAAGTGCAGGCTCACTAACAGCCTTCTTTCCCCTGTCCTTTGTCCCTGTGCAGAGATCGTGGATGGCAATGCAAAGATGACCCTGGGAATGATCTGGACCATCATCCTCAGGTTCGCCATCCAAGACATCTCTGTGGAAGGTAAGCCATGGAAGACAGGTGCCTCTTCACTCTCTCAGGACATGGTGAATTAAGAAAGAACTCCTGGCTGGTTTCGTCTCCATGCTTGCTTGGGACCCGTCTTCTCCCACAGCCTTTCCTGGCCCTAGGTTACCCTAGGACACTGAAGCTCTGGCCTCCAGTTCTTGAACCACCCTCACGTTCTTGTGAAGCAGACCAGGATGTCAGCCACCATTGTATAGCCATTTCCCTGAGCCACAGAACAAACTCAGATGGAGTTGGGCCTGGCTGCTTCTCTTTCTGCCCCACATACCCATAGAGGGTGTGCGTCTTGGCCTGCTTAAGCCATCCAGGAATGTTGCCACTTCCAACTGGCCACTGTGTGCGCTGGGGAACGTGAGAAGCCCCGAGGCCAGTGTATAGATAGTGGTGTTCCTGGGTACTGGGTCACCATGGTGATGAAGATAGATGTGTTCCTGTTTCCATAGGACTCCCGATTTAAGGACAGCCTAGTTACCCACAAGGAAAAGAAGGAAACAGGCTGAAGCTAGTCTCCAGGGCTCACGCACCATGTGGCCTAGTGGCTAATGACAGTCTAATCAGGGATGGGGAACAGGTTCAGGATCCTGTCCTTGCCACTTTCTGGGGTTGACTTCAGTGACAAGGCTTCTTGGAGCTGGACTCTGTGCTGGCAGGTGGATGGGCAGAGATCCACATCTGTGATGGGAGCAGCTGCCACTGCTGCTGTTACAATGTCTGCTGTCCTTCCCCTGGGCTTTTGTTTGTCCCCGGGCCTGAGGCTAAAGGCTTGTCCAGCTTGAGCCCTGATCTGTGGTTTAACTTTGACCATATCTTTCTGTCATTGTGTGCTTTGCAGAGACCTCTGCCAAGGAAGGGCTCCTCCTCTGGTGCCAGCGAAAGACGGCCCCATATAAAAACGTCAACGTCCAGAACTTCCATATCAGGTAGGTGCCTGGCAGCATCCTGTGTGTTCTGAGATCCAGGTGCTTCCTCGTGTTTTCACCCTGGTCTGTTAGAGAGCAAGCCTCAGTAAGTCCCTGCCCTACTATGGGCCCACTGGAAAGTCTGTTCAGAGAGGAAGGAGACTGGCTTTTTCAAACAGCTGCAGGCTCTTCAGACTTCTTCCTCAAGCAAGGTGGTTCTTTGAGTTCATAGTCAGATTTCATTCTTCTTTTGCATGTTGCAAGAGGGACCAGTTCCTAGAATGCCATTGTGTTTAACTTAAGAGAATGTGCTCTTCATCTAGTAAGGTGGGCAAAACTCAGCCCAGCCGGGGGTCTGCTGTTCCTGGGGTGAGGGTCACAGAGGATTAGGTGCAACTACTATGACTTGCAGGGCCATGTGCCATGTGAGGCCAGAGCACAGAAGGCTGTTGTCTGCCTGGGGTGCCCCTGAACTTAGACTTATTCAGTGAGTGACTTTACCACCTAAGCCTCTGGGACAGGGCCCCCCGGACCCTGCTGTGTCCTTGACCTCTCTGGGGACCCCATGCTGATGTCAGAAACTTTTCTCATGTTCTGTCCTTAAATGCACAGGGTCCCCTTGGTGGCTCTGCTAAGTGTATCTGTAGCCTGTCTGCTGCTTCTACACATGGAGGCACAGCAACAACTCGCCGCAGGGGTCACCTGCCCTCCAACAGAGGACCAGTAGGAATACGGGTGTTTGGACTGCTCATTTCAGACAGTGAGGAGGGAATGGGAAGTAGGAGAGCCATTCTGAGCAGGTGATACAGAAATCCATCCCGGAAGGAACCAACCGATCCTCATAGGATCTGGGGACGAAAATGTACTTAGTCTACCTTGTGACTTTGTAGGGATCGTTTTGCTCCAGAGAACTTCAGGCCACCCAGCACCCAGGCACTTAGCCAGCCCCTGGCCTGTGCCTCCATGACTGGGTCAGCCAGGGTTCAGGATCCCACCCCATCTCCCATGGTGAATTTGTCCCCTGGTGCAGGCCTATCCTGGTGAGCCCTTGTATGCATCTCACTGATCAGCAGACACCTCCATGTAAGGGGCTGTAAAAGCATTAACTCAATCCTCATAGCAAGCCTGGGCTAGCTGTTCCCCACTTTACAGGCCTGGAAACTGAGGAAGCAGTTCTGTGACATGCTCAACGTCATATTGTCAGTGCCAAATCAGTACTTACTTCATCGTACTTGATCCCAGATTGTCGGGCACACTGAGCCTTCTGTATATGGGAGTCAGTCATTGCCTTCTCTTACAGCTGGAAGGATGGGCTGGCCTTCAATGCCCTCATCCACCGCCACAGACCTGAGCTGATCGAGTATGACAAACTGAGGAAGGTAAGTGTCTCTGGCCCCTGTCTACCCTCAAGGGCTGCACATTGGTGACCTGGATTCTGCCCAGATACGAAAACTGGGCCGGCTTTTTCCTGGTCACTAGTATGTTGGCTGACGCTCACCTCCTTGACACCTGCAGGCACTGTCCCATTTCCCTCTTTGGGCGTTAAAATAGGCTGGACTCTTAGGGCCTGTGTTACTTGACCTTTGACCCTCTTTCTTGACCTTCTGGATTCTAGAAGCATTCTCCTCTCCTGGAGAGAAAAGGAACTTCAGACCTTCCCGGTGGCCACCATGTCCTGTGCAATCGTGCTCTTATTTGCTTACACACAGCTGAAAGCCTGGCCTCTGGGAAAGGCAGGGAACCATGTCCAGAGCAGCCACTAGGCCAGGGGCACTTCAGAGTGCAGGGCCAGGCGGCTGCTGCAAAATGATGGTACCCTGAGCTGCTCGGGCCCGGAGACTGAGAGGACTGAGCCGCGGTGCTGGGGCAGCATCTTCACCCTGCTTACTTGGTGTAGTGGGAAGAAGGGTTCTGCTGAGCCTGCAGAGTGGTGGGGGGGTGAAGTAGATCAGGCCTGCTCACAGGCCCTACGAAACTGTATAGGCACTGGGGTATTCTAGAGAGGGGAAAATGTTCTTTACTTGATAAACCACACACACACACACACACACACACACAAACACACACACACACACACACACACACACACACACCCTCCCTCCCTCCCTCCCTCTATGGTCTCCCAAGCCCAGACCACACCCACAGGTGTTTAGAACGCACAGTTTAACTGAGGCCTGTGGCTGTCTGACAGTTCTGTAAGACGTGGTACCTGTCGGCTGTGGGCAGGGTTTGTACTGTCTAGGAGGCCTTTCTCCTGGAATAATAGCACACAGGGATGAGAATTTCTAAAACACTTTCCATCCCTGCTCCTGGGCTTTCCTGTCTCAGACCAGCCCTTTTACAATTACCTGAGTTCTGCTCCTGATGGAATTCTCCGTTTCTCCCACCTGCCCCCCCCAGGATGATCCAGTCACCAATTTAAACAACGCTTTTGAAGTGGCTGAAAAATACCTTGATATCCCCAAGATGTTGGATGCTGAGGGTGAGTGCCTCCCCTGTGTTCAGTCAGCGACGTGTTTCCTGGGGCCTCATCTGTCTGGGCCTCGCTTTGGCTCATCAAGCCTAGGGAAAACCTTGGGGAATCTAGCTGGCTGAGCTGAGGAGAAAGGTCGGGTGAACCTGATGTGGCCAGAGCCATGCAGCATGAGCCAGAGTTGGTCAGTTAAGTCCAGAAAGGTAGGAAAGGGAGAGGGCAGTGCTCAAAGAGTCAGTTTTATGAGACCACGACCATCCAGACTCACAGAGGGTCAAGGTGTCTGAAGAGGCCGGCCGCTGACTTCCTGTGAACAACCCGGCCTCCCTCCTGACCAGCTGAAGGCTGGGGTCTGGAGCCTGCCAAAGTGGAATGTTGTTTTTTCCTTTTCCGGCTTTGCTCCATTTCCCAGCCAGCACCGCCCCCAGCCAGGACCTATGTCTCTGGCCTCTGGTGGCCCTTGGAGTTCACTGTCCTGCTGCCCCTTGAGGCTATCCTCAGAGAGGGCGTGGCTTCATTCCAGTTCAGTTCCCACAGCTTTGGCCTTTCCTGAGACCTTAGGGGGAGGTTGGGACTGTAGCGGAGCCCAGCAGGAGGTCAGTCAGCTTAGAGGTCTTTCCCCTGGCTTAGTTGTGGCTTTGGGAGCCTGTGGGTCCTAGCAAGTGGCCTCACCCCCGCTTGGGCCATTTAACCCTTGTTGTTCACTTACAGACATCGTGAACACAGCCCGGCCCGACGAGAAGGCCATAATGACATATGTGTCCAGCTTCTACCATGCCTTTTCAGGAGCGCAGAAGGTACCGGGCAGGGCCAGGCAGCCCTCCTCGCCGCCACCGCTCAATGCCGCTGCCGCCTTTCGCCTCCATGCTGACTTCATTTCTCTTGCAGACAGCAGGAGCCTCTCTTGGACTAGAAGCCAGCCCCCTCAGTCCTGGGCATTGCCGCCTCTAGTGCTTGCTCAGCCAGCCTCGAGTGATTACTGTATCCCAGGCTCTGTTGTCCACAGGCAGCTCCTTGCTCAAGGGAGACAGACAGGTCATGTGATGTGATGAGGAGCCACGGGAGAGGCTGCACAGGCGGGGTGAGGCAGTAACTGGGGAGAGGAGACTGAGGCCAGGACAGGAGAGCAGAGGAGCGAAAGGCAGCCAGCTGTGGGAGACTGTGTCACCCCAGAGCCAGGGAGACCTCTGCTCAGGGCTCCTTTCCTTTTCTCTTGTACTTTATTTGGGATATTTATTTTATGTGTATGAGCGTGTTGCTTGCATGTGTATCTGTGTACCACACAGGCACTTGCTGCCTAGGGAGGCCAGGTGTTGGATCCTCTGGAACTAGTTTCAGATGGTTGTGAGCTGCCGTGTGGGTGCTGGGCATTGAACCATGAGTCTTCTGGAAGAGTAGCCAAGTTTTTAACTGCTGAGTCAACTCTCCAGTTCTAGGCTGTTCGTTTGTCTGTTGGTGTTAAGGCAGGGTCTCATGTAGCTCAGCTAGCTGTAAGAATCCTGATACTGTTTTTGTCCACCTCCCGAGTCCTGGCATGTGCTACCGCTTGGGTTTTTTGTTTGTTTTTCAAGACTGTTTCTCTGTGTAACCCTGGCTGTCCTCGAACTCTCTGTAGACCATGATACACTCAAACTCAGAGATCCACCTGCCTCAGACTCCTGAGTGCTGGGATTAAAGGCGTATGCCACCCAGCCTATTATTTTCATTTTTTTGGAGACTGTCTTTTGATGTAGCCCTGGCTGTCCTGGAATCCTATGATTTCCTATGTAGACCAGGCTAGCCTAGAACTCTCAGGGATCTCCCTGTCTCTGCCCCTCACGTGCTAGGATTGCCAATGTGTGACACTGTGCCTGGCTCTTTTTGAAACAGACACTTAACTGTGTAGCTCTGGCTGGCCTCGGACTTTAGCTCCTCCTCCTGCCTCTTTCTCCCAAGTGCTAGGATTATAAAAGTATGCACTATTGAGCCCAAAATCGTTAGGAGTTATGCATAAATGTTCAGGTGACATGATTCTACCTAGGCTTTCAGAAAACAGTCACTTAACTTTTGACTTTTCTGGTTCCAAATGCAGCTGCTTTTATACAGTCTAGTTGTGTCCATGGCCTGTTGCAAAGGCGGCCCCGCCCTCAGACCTCATGGCCCTTCTGCACACGTCGTCAGGGCATGACCCCAGGTCTGGGTTCCACTGGCTTCCAGTCCAGAGCAAGCACTGTTCTTCCTGCATGAGCCTTGGGCCGGCTGGCCGCTCCTTCCTGCCCCTTTCACTCTCTCCTGTCTCTCTCTCTTTCTCTCTCTCTCTGGCAGATATTGTGGGCACTCTGAGGCCAGATGAGAAGGCCATCATGACTTACGTGTCCTGCTTCTACCACGCTTTCTCGGGGGCCCAGAAGGTGAGCCAGAGTGGGAGGACCCGGCGCTGCTGTGGATTCAGAGTCGCCCTTTCTTTCTGTCGTGCTCAAGCCAGCACTGTGGGCCACATGTGCCTGGGTAGAGCCCTGCTGAGCTGAACAGCCTCGGGCCATCGTGGTCTTGGGAGCCTGGGGCCGCATCTGTTCCAACGCCTCACAGGCATTCTTGCATTTGAGCATAGTCACCCATGGTAGATGGTGACACAGCTGTAACCACAGACTGGGGAATAGAAGTCTGGTGTCGCTGTAGATGACACCCCTGACTTGTCACAACATCTACTTCAGGGCCACCTACCCCGGTGAACCTCCTTTCAGAAAACTCTTTCCTAAGAGCAGGCTGCCTCTGGAGCTCCATGGGCAGGAGACGGGAACTTGTCTGTTCTGTCCTTCGGCTCCTGTCGGACTAACTGTTTCTACGTAGAGGTCTGGGCATTTCTGTGCCCTCCTGGTCTTGAGAAGTGTCTGGACAGCAGGAGGGATGGATGCTTGTTTTGGGAATATTTATGTCACTGGGACTGACGGAGGCCATCAGACCCATCTGAAAGGAAAGGAAACAGGCTCAGACCCTGCACCTGTTGTCTTCTGTAGACTGCCGCCTTGGAGTGTTGGCATCCCGTGGGTGCCTCCCTGCGGGGCAGTCTGGCCTGCCTCTGCTTTGCCCCGTCTTGGCAGCATGATCTTGGATAGGTTACTTAGCCTCGATTTCCCCATTTGTAAGATGAGAATCCTATTGCCCCTCACAGAATTTTTTTCTGGGCATGAAATAATGAGCTCCAGGGCTTAAGACAGTGCACAGCAAGGTTCTCTTTTCATTCCTCTCCCCCAAATGACCAGCTCTCAGCCCTTTGTCGTCTGCCTAGCATGGGTCAGGTCTTGTGTCTGATGTGTTTTTCTGGATGGCCCGGGTGGGAGGATGCTCCCCATTTCCCCCACGTCCTGGTAAGGAGGGCTGAGTGGGAATGGCCCCAGTTAACAGCATGACTTCCCCTGAACACTCCCACTGGACCCCAGCCTCACCTGAAATGCCCCCACACTTAGAGCTCACCTTGGGCCTGGTAGAGGGAGGGGAGGCTCTGAGGGAATGGTTGATCAGTTACTAGCAGAAAAGTCCAGGGCAGAGCAGTTGCAAGTTTGGAGACATCTGGGCTCAGAAAGCTTGTGGTTGGCATACCTTCTAAGGTAGATGTCAGCCTGGTCACACAGGGAAGAAAGTGAAGAATTCTGCTACATTCTCCTTTTCTTATGAAAGAATGTAACCTCAGGCCATTTTACTGTTCCTGTCATTTTCCCCAGAGGTCAGTCCAGTCTCTAAAGAGCGCTTTCTGGCTGAATTCAGGCCTGGCCTGAGAGTGCTATGCTCCCTGTGTCTAGTCACCAAAGCATTCGTTCCTTCTTTACACACTTAAAGTCATCCATTCTGAGCACCTACAATGCCCCAAGCCGCAGCAGAGTAGGTTAGAGCTTGGGTACCAGCCGTGCGCTCAGCACCTCTGGCATAGGCCCTTGTGAGTCTCACCCCAGGAACAGGTCCCTGGTGTTAGTCCCGGGTGCTTCCTGCAGGCTGGCGTGTGGTGTGTGCACCCAAGTCCATACCACCCGATGCAGCCTGGCCTCAGCCACTCCCTGTGCCACGTGTGGATGAGAAAGCTCAACGGGCCAGGAGCTGGCTCCCGAGCCTCTGTTTTCCTCCTCATCACTCTGTAGACCCTCCTCACTATTTCTGTTCCTGTTCTGTTGCCGTTCCAACTCTTCTTGGACCTTTTCTGTGCTGCCTGAAAGGTACCTGCCTCCCTTCTCCTGTGTGGCGCTTTCCCCTCCCCTAGACCAGGGGCCAGCTCTGTGTCTCCGTAGCCTCCCCGCGCTTCCTTCTGGCCCTCACATTGTGAATTGTGCCTGTGTGAGCTCCTGTAGTCAGCCGCACCTCCTGAGCAGCTAGAAAGGGTAGAGCATGCACTGACCACAGGGACTCCACGGTACTGCACCCCCACCTCCAGCAATGTTCCCGTTCAAGGGAAAAACGTTCAGCACAGCCCCACCCATTCCTGGGCTCTAGAGGCCTGGTTCTAAGCAGGGCTCAGGTCTGGCTACCCTTCTCAACAAGGCCCTGAGGACATGGCCGCTCAAGGCCATCATCTTACTGGAGACGCACTTCCTCTCATTTCCTTCTTTGGGGTGTTCTCTGTGGCTCTTGGACTAGCTGCTTTCAAGGGACCTGCTTGTTAGGAGGGAGGGTCCCCGGCCCCAGGCAGCCCTGACTGTGTGTTTCCCCGCCCCAGGCTGAGACTGCTGCCAACCGAATCTGCAAGGTGCTGGCTGTGAACCAGGAGAATGAGCACCTGATGGAGGATTATGAGCGCCTGGCCAGCGATGTGAGTGCCCCCCAGTGAAATGGGGGGAGGGGGGTACTTGTTGCTCTTCCAGAATATCCGAGTTCATTTCTGGCCTCTGGGGGTCAGTGACACGTGCAAGCATGTACACACAAACAAAATATCCATACACATCAAATTAAAAATGAAGGTTTGGGGCTTTTGTGGGGGTGGGGTACACAGGGAGACAGGAGGGGTAGTAAATGGAACCTTACATAGCCCAGGCTGGCCTTGGACTTCCAATCCTCCTGCCTCTACCCCCCAAGTGCTAGAATAACAAACATGATTTTGCTGAGAAAGTAGCTAAAGCCGTGAGATACGGAATACAGAAGTTTTCGGGCGGCAGTATCATGCTTGAGTCCAGAACTTGTTCTTACCAAGACGTTCAGTTTCAGCTTCCAAAGAGGACGTCTGTGTCCTTAGAACCATGACTCCTAGGCCCCAGGAGTCTGAGGTGCTGAATGTCAAAGAAGGGGCCTCATGTGTGCCAGGCAAGCGCTCGCCCTCTGAGCCACATCCTCACCCACCCCAGGCAGTAAGATTTTGTGGAGTGGGAAAACTTGAAAGATGTTCACCAACCAACCCAAGTGGCCGACTTCCACCCCGGTGAGGATTTTATACTGGCAGAGCTAGGGCCGAGATGTAGTTAGTTGCTGGGGCTCCTGTCAGTGCTGATAGAACAGAAGGCAGATGCCACTGTCATTCCCAACCAAAGTGAAGGCAGAAGTCATGTTCTTGGGTACCATTCACCAGGTGCATACCCAGCCCTGCGCCTCTGTTCTTGGCTTTGTCTTTGCAACTAAGAAAGCATGCTGCCTGTGCTGATGATAGCTGACTTCACTGTTCTGGATAGGTTTTGAAGATCAGTCTGTTGGCTTGTTGGTACTCTTCCTCACCCTGTCAGAGATCCACGTAGGTCATCAGAATACATAGAAAAGCACTCTATTTTTAGGTGCCTGGCCTGTGTGTACACTGGCCATCTAACCAAGGCACACACACCGTAGACCCTTACTATTGTGTCAGCCATGGTCACTAAACCTAGGCAGAGCAAGAGTCAGAGTCCTGTGACAGCATGGACAGGGTCTTGTAGGAAGGGACGGTAGACTTGAACCCGCCCACTTCATCTGGGCAAAGAAGACTCAGCAGAGGCATGAACAGAAAGTAGGGGTTAGCCAGTGTTCCAGGAACATCACACATTGCCAGAACTCTATGCTGTGGGCCCCAACAGAAACAGTGGAGCATTTGGGTTTGGAGGCAAGGTAGTTCTTGTAAGTCTGTGTCTTGGGGGGAAGGGGGAAGGCTTCAGCACTCTGAGCATCTCTGTAATGACTGCCATGGCTTCCTATGGGCCCACAGCTTCTTGAGTGGATCCGACGCACCATCCCCTGGCTAGAGGACCGTGTGCCTCAGAAGACCATCCAGGAGATGCAGCAGAAGCTGGAGGACTTCCGAGACTATCGGCGTGTTCACAAGCCCCCCAAGGTGCAGGAGAAGTGCCAGTTAGAGATCAACTTCAACACGCTGCAGACCAAGCTGCGGCTCAGCAACCGACCCGCCTTCATGCCTTCCGAGGGCAGGATGGTCTCGGTGAGTTCTCCCCCTCTCCCCCAGGCCCAGGGCCATCACCTACCAGGCCACACTAGGGTGTAATGCCTGGCTGGCGTCAACGTAAATCAGTCTTCAAGGCAGGGATGGTGCCTGTGTGCTTAGCATTCCCCTACCGTTTCCTCTGAGGTTTTACACCCAGAATCCTCTGCACTGCTACCCGTAGCCATACCACAGTTCCTGTGGGCCATTTGAATCCAGAGCCCTAGTCTGCCAGGGCCAGCAAGTGTCTGAGATCTTTATGAAGGGAAGGACAGCAGGACACGTTTCATAGTGTCCTCAGGAGTGTCCGTCCACCCACTTGTGCCGAGAGTCATTCAGTTAGACCAAAGTAATCAGTGCTCGTGTTCCTGGAGAGATGGTCAGTGGTTAGACATTTGCAGAGGGTCTCAGTTCAGTTCACAGTCTCCTGTGAACACAAGTGCGCGTGCGCACAGACACTACACACACACACACACACACACACACACACACACACACACACACACACACACACACACACACGTGCGTGTCCATTCTGACCTGTGTAGACAGAACTGCAGGGTAGGGTCAGGTAGGACCTCGTGAGAGCCCTGCTCCCTTTCCTGCACCTCAGGACATCAACAATGGCTGGCAGCACCTGGAGCAGGCCGAAAAGGGCTATGAGGAGTGGCTGCTGAATGAAATCCGCAGGCTGGAGCGACTTGACCACCTGGCAGAGAAGTTCCGGCAGAAGGCCTCCATCCATGAGGCCTGGACTGACGGTATGCTTCCCATGTTCCCTTGCTCTGTTCTCCACTCTGAGGTTTGTAGGCACACACAGTTCCCAGCCCCGGGTTCAGCCCACCACACTGTCTGACTGGGTTTCATGCCACATTGGCCCAGATGCCTAAGTAACCCTCCAGCCGCCTCCTGGCTCCATGGCAGATCTGAAGATGGTGCTCCCTGACTCCGTCACCACCCTGTCCCAAAGCCTGCTTTGTTTCCCAGCAGCCCTGCAGCTGCCTGGCCCTGGCTCAGGATGTAGAATTCCATCACGTCCTTGGCCTCTGGTTCAGACCCTCTCCATCACTGAGATTCCAGATTCCCAGGAGACATAAAGACTCAGGAAATGCCCATGGGAAGTCAAAGGCACGCCACGCCACACTCACAGACAGCTGTCACTCACTCCCATTCCCGCCCCTGCGACCCTGCTGGTTTGCATTTCCTCGCCTGCTCTGTATGGTTTTCCATCCCGCCCACACCACACAAGGAGTCCCCTCGACTGTGGGTGTATAATCCAGCCCCAACTGTAGCCAGATGCTGAGACCCCTTCCTGGAGACTGGGCAGCTGCATAGCCCGCTTCAACTGCATCCACCCTGTTCCTGCGCCCACATTAGCCCAGTCCTGCTGTTTCCAAAGCTGCCCAGCTTTGTCTTCTCTGCCAAGGAGAGAGTACAGGAGATGCAGAGGACATGGTGAGCTGAGACAGTTAGGCTAGGCCCTGCCTCCTGCTTCAGAAGTGGTGCCCCTTCAAGGAGGGTGTAATGGCACCCCCCCCTTGGCTGTGATGCCACATTGGAGGGAAATGGGGCTCTCAGTTAATTTATTCACTCATTCTTCAATACACATCTCTAGCCAGATGTGGCAACTCATGCCCGTAATCTCTGTACTTGGGAAACTGAGGCAGGAGGATTGCTGCCAAGTCAAGGTCAGCCTGGGCTGTATAGAGTGTTCCAGAGTAGTCTAGACTGCAATGTGAAATCCTGTCTTGGGATCCAAACAAAACACCCCACGCATGCTGGTGGAACCGAGCCACTCAGCTGTGCTTTGGCTCCACGCACTGTAGTTTCCCAAGTGGGCAAGCCCTACTTACAGTTCTCTCGTGAGAGCCCTAAGTATGTAAGGAATGCCGTAACAACTCTGCCCCACGTGTAACTAAGGTAGTTTCTGCTGTCATTTCCTGAGGTGTCTTGCGAGATTATCCTAGATTATCCTGTGGTTCTCACCAAATGAGCTGGAATACCTAGCCCAGGGCTCTCAGAGACCTGGGCAGCTGGTTTCATGAGGCTGTGGGCATGGTAACCTCTCAGAGCTCCTTCTGGGAATGCCTGGGAACAGGATTGCTCTGGAGGGACTTACGAATGAGCCCCAGCTGTGTGGTTAACATCTTCACGCACTCGCCTGTCCTTTCCACCAGCTCTGAGTCCCCAGACAGACCTGCCCACCACTGTTCTCCTGAACTCAGCCTGTGTTCTGAACCCTGAGGACAGGCTGCCCTACAGCCCCTCTTCACTGCTAGGACCTAGATACAGCAGCCTGCCTTGGGGGTGTGGCCTCAGTAGTGGCGGGGCCCACGTGGCTGCTTTCCAAACACCAACGAGTCCCACATACATCTCGTGGCTGCCCTGGAGGACACACTTGCCAGTTCCCTGCTGAAACAGCTGAGGCCTGAGTTTTTCTCAGCTGCTATTTCTGGTTCCCGCCCTTGGGAGAAAGCAGTTTGGAGAAGGGAATTGCAAGCTTGCCTTGTGGTTAAGCCCTCCAGCCTGGGGCAGGGGTGGCAGGCCTGTGGAGTCAGTTTTCCAGGCCCACCTCTTGTCTGCTGGTGCCAGCCCTGGCCTGGGGCAGCTGGCAGTTGCTAGGCAGAGATGAGCCTGGGCGTGGCCTGGGGGGGGGCCACTGACTCTGCCTCCAGTCTTAACCATCGCCTCACTGAAACTCAGGAGGGCTCAAGGCCGCAGAGGTGCTATTGCTGGCCCTGTTTTACACATGAAAGATTGGCTGAGGGTGGACCCATAGGCACTTGGAAGCAGGGCTCCTTGAGGAAGTGGAGTCCCTTTCCCTCAGTCCCCTGTAGCCCTTCACTTACTAGCTCGGCTGCTTGGGCTTTCGCCCTGGGTATGTAATTAGCCCGGCTCCAGGACTAATAATAGTGTTTCTCCCTTTGCTTCCTTCAAAGGGTCTGGGCAGCCCCACCCACTGTGCTGAGAAATCGGGTGGGGCGACAAGATTGGGATAGGACCACCACCCAGGAGAGCAGGCTCCAAAGAGCTGTCACAGGCACAGACTCCGTCCCTGCCCCTTTCTTGATCCCACCGGGCCTGGCTGCAAGCCTAAGTCCCAGTCTCCACCCTCCACGAATGCGTGTCTATAACTTTCCAACTGTCCTGTCCTCTGGGTCTCCCATCAGTAAGAGATGCGTGCGAGTTACACTAAGATGTCTGTCCAGGCCACAAGCACCAGAGTGTCCCCTAAGCCTGCACAGAGTCTCATAGAACACAACTGGAGTGAAGAGATCCCTGAGGGGCAAGGAGAAGGTTCCGGGAGTTTCTAGGCTCCATCCTCTGGAGTAACAGATACGGCCCATGTTGCTGCCCGCACGCACACACTACCTTGGGTAAGCTCTGTAGCTGCTGGGCTGTTGTTCAGGTGCCTCTCTGCCACATCTGCAGGGAAGGAGGCCATGCTGAAGCACCGGGACTATGAGACAGCCACCCTGTCGGACATCAAAGCTCTGATCCGCAAGCACGAGGCCTTCGAGAGTGACCTGGCCGCACACCAGGACCGGGTGGAGCAGATTGCTGCAATTGCCCAGGAGCTCAAGTATGTGTGCACCAGTGGCGTCATCACCTGCCAGTTTAGGTTTCTGTCCCCAGTTCTCAGCCCCTGCCTCCTCACACACGCCAGGAGGGCCTCACGGGATGAGACCTGCCCATACTCTCAACACCAATGAGAAGCAGAAGGGACCTAGGTTCTCCAGCTTGGGGATAGACTCTGGCTGCTTGTCCTGGGTCCTCCCCTGCCTGCCATTTGGTGTCGCTCTTCAGGCCCCTCCTGCGTGTGGGGAGCTGTACAGTGAGTCTGTTGTTCTTCCTCCTGCTCAGAATGCAAGCGGCTGGTGTCCCTCCCTCCCCCGCCCCAGTCAGATATTTGTGCACAGTTAGTACACTGCTCCTCAGGAGCCCGTGAATGGGGCCCTTATTCTACCGTTGCAGTGGCCAGCAGCAGCAGGAAGGACCCAGGGAGTGGGAGGCCCAGCCCGTTGCTTCATGGAAAATCTGCAGACCCTGCAGGAGCTCCCAAAATAGCTTTCTGCTCCCAAATAAGCCGCTTGGCTGGAGCTGCTCTCTCCGTAGACACCCTCACCCGCTAGTCACCCCAGACTTGTGCAGTTCTGCCAGTGGGGCACAGGAGCAGGGCTCGCTCCCTTCCTTCTGCTGCTGCGGGCTATTGGGTGCTCACTTGCATACCAGAGGCAGAGCTATGGTACTGGGACCCATAACCTCAGTACCCTCCAGACCGAGGAAAGCAATGCAAAAGACACTTTGGTGTGAGTGGCAGGTGGGTGTCCTGAAGCAGACTGGAGGACCCGGTTAGCCTGCTCTTCAGATACTAGGCCCCAGCCACGTGAGGCCTGTTCCCCTGAGGCAGGGTCATGCAGCCCCAGAAACAGCATTTTAGCCATGGTCCCAGAGGAAGTACCAACTCATGCTCAGGTATAGCAGCATCATGGAACGCTCTTGAGTCCATGTTTGGTCACCAATGAGAATATCAGCACAACACTTCTCAAGTCAGTCATGCATGTGCGAGGGAGGGAGGGGAAGGAGAGAGAGCATGTGCGTGCGTGCGTGCGTGCGTGCGCGTGTGTGTGTGTGTGTGTGTGTGTGTAAATCGATGCATAACAAAACCACAGAAGGTTCTAACACCTGAGTCTGCTGTGTCATTTCAAGAGATCAGCAACAGTAATAAGATAGTACAACTGTTGTGTTTGTTGTTTTTCCAGACTGAGTTTCTCTATATAGCCCTGCCTGCCCTGGAACTCACTCTGTAGACCAGGTTGGCCTCAAACTCAGCTGGAATTAAAGACATGCACCACCATGCCCGACTTTAGAATCATTTTATAATGAGTATTTATAGGTAGACATGCCTGTTCTTTTAGGCAGTAACTAATACTGTAGAAAGTCAAACTTGGGGTAAGTTGGACCTAAAAATCCTGTAGCCCAGCTGGCCCTAAACTCAGTGATCCTCCTGCTCTTTATCCTTGCCGCTGGGATTACAGTTCTGAGCCACCACTACTGTCTCTGCTAGATGTTGTTGAAATTGAAAGACAGTTTGGAGCCAGGAAAGTAATGGCTCAGTGGATCAAGGCATTTGCCACCAAGCCTAGAGAGACCCGAGTTGGATCCTGAGACCCACAGTGTGGAAGAGAGATAACTCCCACAAATTGTCCTCTGACCTCCACACACTGGATGGATGGATGGATGGATGGATGGATGTAGAAACTTTAAGAAAAGAGAGCTGTTGACATGATCAGTGCTTAAGAGTGTGTACTACTCTGGGGACTTCTGGCCTCCAGGAGCACACATGGTCAGATTGCTCAGTTGGTAAAATATTTGTGGAACAAGCATCCCAGAGCACATATAAAAATCTGCATGGTGGTACATGTGTGTAATGTCAATCTAGGTGAGGTAGAGACAAGAGGACCTCATGAGCTCCAGATTTTGTAAGAGACCTTGTCTCACAAAATGAGGTAGAGAGGGTCAGTGCCACATGAGCCTGACAGCCCGAGTTCAGTCCCCTGAGCCCACTAAAAGCTGGATGCTGTGTAGCCCTGGCTCTCCTGACTTCCCAGATCTTGGCCAGCTAGCCTGAAGTCTGCAGCCTAGCAGCAGAAACCCAACAAGGTGGGAGGCGGGAAGAAACAAATCCTGAAGCTTGTCCTCTGACCTGCACACACCCTTAATCCCAGTTCTCAGAATGTGGGGAAGGAGGATGGATCTCGAGTTCACAGCTAGCCTGGATCAAATTCCAGGCCAGCCGGGGCTTTACAGTGGGAAGCTGGAGTGCCTGAGGCAGGGTAACATTGATCTCCAGCCTCCGGCAGCCAGGCCTGGCGCCCATGCTGTAGCGAGTAGCCTAGAGTAAAAGGAAGCCAGCTCCTCCCGCTGCCTGCCCGCCGTGGCCCCGAGCAGGGGGCTCTTCAGTACTGTCACCTACACAGGGGTTTCATCCCTGTCTACTCCACAGTGAGCTGGACTACTATGACTCCCACAATGTCAATACCCGGTGCCAGAAGATCTGCGACCAGTGGGATGCCCTGGGCTCCCTGACCCACAGTCGCAGGGAAGCCTTAGAGGTGAGGAGGGGTGTGTCCCCAGGGAGTCTGATGCCCTTTAGGGATGTTGGGTATCTGTGGACTCAGAGGGTGTCTTTGGAGGTCCTCAGGTGTGTCCTCTGGCAGCTGACCTACCTTCCCTTCCCTGTCCCCATCCATCTGCACTGTAGAAAACAGAGAAACAGCTCGAGACCATTGACCAGCTGCACCTGGAGTATGCCAAGCGGGCCGCACCCTTCAACAACTGGATGGAGAGTGCCATGGAGGACCTGCAGGACATGTTCATCGTCCATACCATCGAAGAGATTGAGGTGCCCCAGCCCCCCACCCCGCCCTCCAGGGGACACCCCCCCCCCCCAGAAAGGCAGGCTCAGCTCCTTACTCCCATTTGTCCTCTAGGGCCTGATCTCAGCCCATGACCAGTTCAAGTCCACTCTGCCCGACGCCGACAGGGAGCGTGAGGCCATTCTGGCCATCCACAAGGAGGCCCAAAGGATCGCCGAGAGCAACCACATCAAGCTGTCGGGCAGCAACCCCTACACCACCGTCACCCCCCAGATCATCAACTCCAAGTGGGAGAAGGTGGGCCAGGGTCATGTGGGCATGCAAGGCTGGAGCGTCCAGGCGGGCAAGCTGCCACCTGACCTCTGCTGGTGCCTATCCCCCACAGGTGCAGCAGCTGGTGCCAAAGCGGGACCACGCCCTCCTGGAGGAGCAGAGCAAACAGCAGTCCAATGAACACCTGCGCCGACAGTTCGCCAGCCAGGCCAATGTGGTGGGGCCCTGGATCCAGACCAAGATGGAGGTGAGGCCGCCCGCCCAACAGTGAGCCCAGGCTACCTCTCAGCTGAGAGAGCCGGGTGTGGCCCTGTGACCTGATGTAGATGGAAGTGAAACCCTGGCTAAAGACTGGTCAGAGCCCTTTGAGCCCTGACTGTCAGGACTGGGCCAGGAGCTCACTGGCCTTCTGCTTCTGTGCTTTTGCTCTGTGAGGGCTGCAGAGTAGCTGCGGGCAACATGGTCCCTAGGGAGCCTCCCGACAGGCATGGGGGGGGGCTTGTGAGGCGGCCAGGAGCTGCTCTGCCTGCCCCTCCCCAAGTGCTCAGGGTGCCCTCCTTGCGGCTCTGAACCCTGAGGCCGTGGTGGCAGCAGTGGGAGCCATGGGCATAGGACTCTGCCCGCAGCCAAGTGCCACGTGTCTTACCCTCCTTTAGTTTTTGGTTTTTCGAGACAGGGTTCCTCTGTATTGTTTTTTGGATCCTGTCCTGGAACTTGCTGGCTGGCCTCTAACTCACAGAGATCCACCTGCCTCTGCCTCCCGAGTGCTGGGATTGAAGGCGTGCGCCACCAATGCCCGGCTTTTGTTTTGTTTAGTTTATCTTGTTTCTAAGGAGCACAAGAGTTATCAGGGTGATGGCACATGCACTGAGAGTCACCTGGCCCACCCTCCCAGAGTCTCCTTTTCTGCAGTCAGCCGGGCCTCAGAGTGGTCGAAGGCATGGCCAAGTCACCAAAGGGCGGGATGGGGCAGTAGCCGGGGCTGGTGTCACCTGGGTCTCTCCCCTGCAGGAGATCGGGCGCATCTCCATTGAGATGAACGGGACCCTGGAGGACCAGCTGAGTCACCTGAAGCAGTATGAGTGCAGCATTGTGGACTACAAGCCCAACCTGGACCTGCTGGAGCAGCAGCACCAGCTCATCCAGGAGGCCCTCATCTTTGACAACAAGCACACCAACTACACCATGGAGGTGCGCCCACCCTGGGCAGGACGGCTGCCCCACGCTCTGCACCTCTTACAGGCCTGTAAAGTTACTGACAGCTGGGCACAGTAGTGAATGGCCCAAATCTCCGCCTTCAGGGGCGGAAGCAGGAGGGATGGGAGTAGTTCTAGCCAACCTGGACTATGTGTGGAGGGAGAGCCTGTCTCGGAACACCCGGTGTTAAAAACCAAAGGAAAGCTAGTGTACAGAGACACAAAGACTGTGGTTCCCTGAGTTCTGTCCTAGAATTGCTGGACAGGCTCCCTCCCGCCTGGAAGATCACATTCCCACCACCTGCGCCTTAGCGCTTTAGCCTTACTTGAGCAGCAAGTCCTGGACACCTGCTGGGCAGCCCCCCAGCATGAGGGGCGTTGTTGGGTCCCGTTCCACTGTGCTAACCCACAGTGCCACAAACCACCACGGTTCCACCCCCCTGAGAGGGTCAGTCACTGAGCAGTGACCAGTGCGACTCTAAGCGTCTTGGCCCTGGCTCCTCTGCCACACCCGTAGGTGGAGTAGCTGAGGAACAGGGTTTGTAAAGGCAGCCAGGAGATGCCAGGGTCCTGTGTTCCCGGTCCATAGCCCGTTTTCCCCCAGACCTAACTTGTTGAGGACAAGTACCCATCCCTCACATCCTCTTCTTCCCTCAGCACATCCGTGTGGGCTGGGAGCAGCTGCTCACCACCATCGCCCGCACCATCAACGAGGTGGAGAACCAGATCCTTACCCGAGATGCCAAGGGTATCAGCCAGGAGCAGATGCAAGAATTCCGGGCATCCTTCAACCACTTTGACAAGGTAAGTTCCCCTGTCCACCCCTACCCCCCCAAAGCTGGTGCAGCGTGGCCTTTCTTCCCGTTGTTATGCCCTGTCATACCCTCTCCATCCGTCCGTCCGTCCATCCGTCCATCCATCCCATCTGCCACTGTCCTGGGTGGACAGGACCCTTGCTACTGAGGGTGTGGGGTACACACAAGGCCAGGTGGGCAGAATCCTTGTCAGTCTGACCTAGGGCTTGGTCCCCACACGCAGTGTTTTTAATGGCCTTTTGACCCGGTACCACAGCTGCTCAGCCTCTGTGGGGACCAGTGTGCAGTCTCTTACACACTCTGTCTGAGCCCTCGGTCCTCCGTGATGCCCACTCTAGCCCAATGAGGCTGTGGAGACCTGACCGCCTCACCCGTCCCCGGCCACCGCCTCGTCTACATCACCGCTAACTGTGTGTTTCCCTCCCCCATGTGTCCTCCTCCCCTGCCCACTGCATGTGGCCCGGCCCCTCTCCCACTCCTGTGGCCTGGCCTCCGCACTGCCCTGCACGCCTGCCTTGGATGGCCCCCGGCAGGACCATGGCGGGGCACTGGGGCCTGAGGAATTCAAGGCCTGCCTCATCAGTCTGGGCTACGATGTGGAGAACGACCGGCAGGTATGCGAAGCCTGGGCCCCTGCAGGCTGGGCATTAACTGCTCTTCTCTCTCTCTCTCTCTCTCTCTCTCTCTCACCCCCCCCCCGCCACCATGCGCTGTCTCCCTGGCTCTCTTGTCCCTCCCTCCTCATGTCTCTCTGGACACTTTCCCCTTACCTGGTCTCCCTGCTGCCTCCTGTGCTGTCTGTCCGCTGTGCACATGGGCCTGCTCTGGGCCTGGCCTCTGCTATGCCTGCGTCCTGGGAGCAGAAGCAGACAGGCAGCATGGACTCGGATGACTTCAGGGCCCTGCTTATCTCCACAGGATACAGCCTGGTATGCAGCCTCTGCCTCCCTCCTTCCCTGCCTCTGCTCCTCCCCCAGCCCCTCACTGCCTCCCAAGCCTCCGTATCTTCCCGGGCTACTCCTCCTCCCTCGTGCAACATGGCCTCGCCCGTCTCCTGCTGCTCTGCTGCGCTGGAGGGGCTGGGGTCCTTCCAGTGACCCCCCAGCCTCCCTCTTCCTTCAAGTATCCCCCTTCTTTCTGTTTCTCCTTTTCTTTCCCCACCCATCAGAGCTGGGGCAATGGACCCAAACCCCTGCTGCCCAAAACTTGGGGAAGGAAGCCAAGGGACAAACTCCCAAGGCCTGGTGCTATCTGGCCAGACTGACCAACGGGCTGCTGACACGGCCTTTCTGTCCTTGCGTTCTTCCCAGACTGAAGTTGTAAGCAGCCCCACTAAGTCCTGTGTCCCCTCCTACCCCCTGCACAGGGTGATGCTGAGTTCAACCGAATCATGAGTGTGGTCGACCCCAACCATAGCGGCCTCGTGACCTTCCAAGCCTTCATTGACTTCATGTCAAGAGAGACCACAGACACAGACACAGCCGACCAGGTCATTGCCTCCTTCAAGGTCCTGGCAGGCGACAAGGTGAGCAAGACCCCACAGAAGCCCTGGGGCCGGGGCCGGAGGCGGGTGGGATGGCTGCTTCAGAGTCTGTCCTGTGCCCCCAGAACTTCATCACTGCCGAGGAGCTGCGGAGAGAGCTGCCCCCCGACCAGGCAGAGTACTGCATCGCCCGCATGGCGCCCTACCAGGGCCCCGATGCTGCTCCTGGGGCCCTGGACTACAAGTCCTTCTCCACAGCCCTCTACGGGGAAAGTGACCTGTGAGGCCCTCACATGCCCTGGTCAGACTCCCTCGGCCTCCCGGAGGGGCTGAGGAACCCTGCCCCAACCCTGACTCTATCTATGCAAAGAACTCTTTGTGGTCCTTCTAGGGGGTCAGGCAGGGAGGGGCTAGGCGAGCCTCTCTTTCTCAGTCTTATAGGGGAGGGAGGCTTAGAGACCAGCACTTCTGGTCTGCTAAATATATATATGATGCTAAATATATAAGATGTGTTGTGGGGTTTTAACCTATATGGAGGGGACAACGGACCCTTGGGCTCCCTCTATCCCAGAGAGACCTTTCCAAACCCAGGTCCCCTCCTCTGCCCCTGAGGCCCCTTCAAGGCCTCTCACATCCAGGCCAAAGCCCCATGTGCCTTGTCCAGGAACCACCTGCCCTGCACAGTCCAGCAGAGGGCACCCTAGCTCCCCTGGACCAGATGCCAGTGGCGCCTTCCTCCACCTCCTGCCTGCCCTTTGTGATTTCCAGGAGCAGAGGACCCTGCCATCACCCCTCTGCCTCAAGAGTGCTGGTGGGCAGCCAGCCCCCGCCCATCTGGTCTTATTTCTGGGTCTCAGATTTTCTAAGGACCAAAACCAACAAAAACAATGAACAGAAACAAAACATCTTTAAAAACTTATTAAAAAAACCTATAAAAATTAAAAACTTCCAGAGAATTACTATTTACTTTATTAACTTACGGATTTATTATATAAATATATATCCATCTAGCCTCATATCTCTGCCACCTCTCTCTCTCGTAATGAAGACATAGCTGATTCAGTGCCCTCCCGCCCCTCCTGATCTTCCCCTTGTCTGTGGTGGGCAGGGGTCTCTGGGGACCTCCTGAGGTGGAGGTGGGCTGCTGGCCTGCCTGCCTGGTAGTGAATGGATGGGTTTCTCCCTTTGAGTTTATTCTGATTGATTTTTATTTTCTTGGTTTCTGGATAAACCGCCCTTTGGGGATGGGAGAATAAAACATGTAATATTTTTCAGACGGATTCTAGTGTCCTTTCATTCTCCCCGTGTCGGCGTCCACACCCCCAGGGAGCTTGCAGGGCCCACCAGCCCGTACCCACGTGTGGGGTGGGGCTCGCTAAGCGGGAACTGCACGCGCACTGGCTTTAAAAGGAAAAAAGACACTTCCGTCGGTGGTAGCTCAGGCCCATAGTCACGGACAGACCGTTGCCAAGCCTCCTGTGCAGTGGTAGGTAGGGCCCCAGCCCCAGGCAGGTGCCAGACTCTGCTTCCGCCACCGGTGCTAAGCCGGGCAGCTCAGGCCTGGGAGCAGGATGGCCTCCCTCAGCTTCTGCTCTAGGAGAAGGTGGCCACTTCTGACCACTGAATAGAAGGAAGAGAGCGTTGAAGCAGAAGCTTCAGAACGGTGCCGGAACCACCCTGCCCCTCCTGCGAGCTCACCTGTTTGTGGGTCAAGCAGACGATCCCCTCACCACCGTCCAGGTGCTGGCTGCAGTGCCCTGTGTATGAGAGGCCAGGGTGAGGAACCAGCATTAGGCCCGAGGTACGCGCCACCGTACACACCCAGCCAGGAACAGCACTCACGGAAGATACAGGTGAGCCTCGATGCACAAGACACGAAGCGCTCGAAGTCCACGCGGAGCCGACTGTCCCGGTAGCGGCTAGTGAGAGACTGGGTCAGCTGGTTGTTGAGGTGGAAGCCTAGGAGGAGACTGTCGTTTGTGGTGTTGCTTTTGTAAATTTGCGGGGGGGTGGTATGTGCATGTTCACATGTATGGACACGTGGGCATTTGGAAGCCAAAGACTGACTCGTCTTCCTCAATCACACTCCACTGTGAGGCAACGTCTCACTGAAATCCAGAATTCAAACCAGTTCGAGCTAGCCCGCTTCCTCTCGGATCACTTGTCTCCTCCTCCCAAGTGCTGGGAATTTAGATGGGCCAACAAAGTCCACCTGACCTTCACACGGGTGTTGTGTGGTTATTGTTTTTGTTTTGTTTTGTTTTTTTTTTGAGACAGGGTTTCTCTGTATTGTTTTGGAGGCTGTCCTGGAACTCATTCTGTAGACCAGGCTGGCCTCGAACTCAGATCCGCCTGCCTCTGCCTTTGGAGTGCTGGGATTAAAGGCGTGCGCCACCAATGCCTGGCAGGTGCTGGGGATTTGAACTCTGGCCCTCACACTTAAGTGTGCAAGTACTTTATCTAAGCCCTAGTCCTAGCCCCGTATTCTGTTTTGCATTGTTTGAGAGAGAGCCTGGCCTCCGATTTTATGTAGCCAGGGGTGGTCATCAACTGATTCTCCGACCTCCTCCTTCCAGGGGCTGGGATTCCAAGCCTGCGGTTTATGTGGTACTCAGTGTAGACCATCCACAGTGAGCACTTTGCAACTGCGGCCTGGCTTTATGTCGCTGTTTCGGAGTGTTAGGAACGGATCCTGGGCCCTTGCACACGCTAAGCAAATGCTCTCCCCTGCACTATGCCCGCAGCCCCTTGCTAACAGGACAGGAACTCTTCCCCTGAGCTACATCCCCCGGCCCTGAGGATATCCTAAGCTTGAGCTGCAACTTGGCATCTTGCCTCTGCCTTTCAAGGAGCCAACAGGTGTAGTTGTCTCTTCAGAGGTTGACTGTCACCTCTGCTGTAGAATCACAATGAGGTTTCAGGAAGCCCCAAGGCCTGAGGATTTGTCCCTCCCAGCTTCCCTGTGCCGCGTGCAGTCCCAACCAAAGATAACTGCACAAGTTTGCACTGCGCCTCTGTATGCTCCCTCCAGGTTCCACCCCACACACGAAACACCATGCCCGGTGGCCTGAGGCAGAGCACCCCCTCTGATCTTCCTGTGCCCTTGGGTACTGGGATGTGCTGGCCCGGGACTGAAGGGAAACCAGACTGGATGGGGTACAAGGACTCAGCCAACCTGTTAGAATTGCTGAGTACCCCAAGAAGACATTGTCAGGCTCCTTCTGTCCGGAACAGCCTCTGGCGTGTGTCAGGGATGGATGGATGGATGGATGGATGGATGGATGGATGGATGGATGGATGGATGGATGGATGGATGGATGGATGGATGATCCAGTGAACTCCCATCCTCCCTCTGTCCTGTGTCCTACCTCTTTGGGTTCAGCACCCTGGCCCCTAGCCTTCGCCTCGGATGCCTCGGGATCATGTCTCACACTTGTAGTCTGTCTCTTCCACTGGTCAGTCATTCCACCCACTAACTCTCCCTGGCTCCTTCCACATGGTGGTCACGGAGGAGCCCACCTTCCAGAATCGGTAATCCCACCGAGGCACCATAACATACATATCCCCACGGCTCAGGGTCTTTGCTGCTGTAACACAGAGGGTGCTTTGGGATGTTCTGTGGCTTTGGAGAGTAACTGTTCGTGCACCATGTCCAGTGACATTCCGCAGGCTCCTTGTCACCCTATTTGCTGTGTCACAGAAGCGGTCACGCAAAGGGAAGTTTTGTGCCCGGAGCCGTCACAGAAGGACGTTAGCACTGGGCCTTGTGGACAGCCCCAGTTTGGGGTGTCTGCCGAATGAGGGGTGCAGACAAGACTCTGAGGTGTCCCAAGAGGAGTGGGTGCTGTCCTTACAACCATCCCAGGTCCCCAACCTCACCTGCGGCGTTCAGTGCCAGCCTCAGCTCATAGGAGTTCATTGTCCCAGAGGCATCTTCATCGAACTTGTCAAATGTGGCCTGGGGGGGGGTGGTTATCAGTATCCCTGGGCATTGGCGCTTGATGACCTCTGAGGCAAGGCAGGCTGGGCTCGAGCACCAGCTTCCCTGGCTCCCGGCTGGGGGCCACTATGCACCTGTGTGTCTGTGACAAGGGAACAAGCTCCCAGACTTGGGAACAAGTTCAGATCCACCTGCCCACAAAGGCTCAGGGGGAGGGCTCAAAAGCTGGGTGTTCCTGTGATCAGTCCCATGAACCTGCGGCTGCTCCTCCCCCTTGAAGGAGCACCCATGGTAGCTAAGTAAGGCTCCTTGGAGACAGGTGACAGGCCTGTAGTCACATGGCAAGGGAGGCTGAGTTGGGAGCCCGGATTCCAACAGTAACCAGAGGCAGCTCTAGATCAGTCCACTGCTCTCGAGGGCCACCGTGGGTGACAAGCACTTTATATCCATTTCACTCCCAAGCTGGCATGGGAGTCCAGTGCCCCATTGGTGCCCCCAAAGGACATTAGTGCCTAGAGCAGTGGTTCTCAACCTGTGGGTTGAGACCCTTTTGGGTATCAAATGACTCTTTTACAGGGCATATCAGATCTCCTACAGGTCAGATATTTACATTACAATCCATAACAGTGGCAACATTACAGTTAGGAAGTAGCAACAAAGATAATTTTATGGTTGGGGTCACACCACAACTGTATTAAAGGGTCTCGGTATTGTTGAGAACCACTGCTCTAGCAGGAGGTGGCTGCTCTCCGGATCACCTTACCTGCCATACCAGGAGATGGCCCCAGAGTTCCTGGAAGTGGTGCAGGGCCAACCTTTGCCCATGCTGCAAATGAGGACATCTAGTTACAATCAGTGTTCCCTGAAAGGCAAGGGGAAGCCCCAGCATCCCTGTCCCTCCTCCCCATACACATACCCCAAAACACTGCACAAGCTGCTCGCAGGTCCTAAGCCCAATCTCTCCAGGAGTCCTGGTGTTGGCCCGAGCTACAAAAAAGAAATCCAAACCGGGCATTGGTGGCGCACGCCTTTAATCCCAGCACTTGGGAGGCAGAGGCAGGTGGATCTCTGTGAGTTCGAGGCCAGCCTGGTCTACAGAGCGAGTTCCAGGACAGCTTCCAAGACAATACAGAGAAACCCTGTCTCGAAAAAACAAAAAAACAAACAAAAAAGAAATCCAGCATTCCTTGCGTATAGCCAACGTTGCAAAAGCTATGTGGACTAACTCTGCAGTGGGCATTTTATAGAGACAGCTCACGCCCGACAAAACCAACAAAGCTGGGGTTATACGTCTTTGCACACGGTGCCTCTTAGAGGAAGGGTAGGCTGTGAGTGATCATGGCCCTCATGTCACCATGGACCCAACCGTAGTAAGCTGCTTCAAGCTGAGACCAGGCTCCCCTTACCGTGCAGACTGCTGGTGTAGTGCTCCCGTTCCAGGGGCCCCACCTCCCCTGGCCAAACTCACCAGGCTCCAGAGCGATGCTTATCAAGGTCTGCAGCTGGAGTGCATCGAGTTCCTCCTCCTAGGCGGGAAAGCACCGGTTCAGCCATCAAGTTAACAAGCACTCTGGGCTCCATAGTGCTGAGGTAGCGGTGACTGCCTTCCTAAGGTTCAACTAGAGGAGGCAGTCTCTCCAGAATGGTCAGGGCAGCGATGGTTAGTTAGGGCTCCACACACTGGGAGCCCACGGTGGGCAGGTGATGGAGAAAGGCACCTGGGAAACCTCCAGAGAGACTGGTGCAGATGGAGATCAAGAGGGATCGCGGAGAATCATGGGAGTAAAGCGAGACTCCCCAGCCCTCAGCACGGTGGCTCAAGTCTGGAACCCTGGCATTGGGTTACCTGAAAAAGGCCAACCTGCCCTAAAGGAAACAGAGTTGTTCCAAGACACCCTCCCTGCTCGACAGTTTGTTTGTTTGCTGGTCTCGAACTCACAGAGATCCGCCTGCCTCTGCCTCCCAAGTGCTGGGATTAAAGGCGTGCGCCACCAACGCCCGGCTGTTTGCTTGCTTTTTAAAGACACAGAGAGGGGAGCTCAGCATCATCTGGCTGGACACCCCGAGTCCCCAACCCCTCCTCACCTCTCCAGCCAGCTCCAAAAACAGCTGTGCCAGGTCCAGGTCCAGGGGCTTGTAGGGGACCTGTGGGGAGGGGGGAGTTCACTCCCTTCCCAAAGCCCCGCCCGCTGCGTCCTGTTCCCGCCCACAACAGCCCCGCACCTCAAGGGCTTCCAGGTCGGCGCTGATCACGTCATCGATCTCCCTGCAAATTATGGGAGGCGGGGTTCAGGCTGGGGATGGGGTCTCAGCAGAGGACGTGGGTGGAGTCGAAGGGCAATGGGTTTTGTCTGGGGTGAGGGTGGGTGGCAGACATCCCTAGGAGGGCGTGGCTGGGGTGTAAGGGCGGGGCTCTGGGGTCCCTGAGCGGGACTTGGGGCCGGGGGCGGGGCGCGCCGGCTCACACTGCGGTGTGGCTGCGTTCCGAAAAGATGCGCAGTGTGAAGTCGGCTTCGTCGCCCACGCGGGAGGCGCTGGGTACCACCAGGTAGTGGCCCGGCGGCAGGCGGCAGCGGCGGCTCACGTCGCGGCGGGCGCAGAACACCGAGCGGTCGGCGCGCAGCAGCCTCGGCAAGAGCGCGCGGCTGCGTGGCGAGTCCCAGAGGCCCAGCAGCTGCGGGGGGGGGGGGCGGGGCGCCATCACCATCCGCCCGAGCTCCCCACCCAACCCTCTGGTCCCCCACACACACACCCAGACCGCCTAGCCAGGACCTCCCGTGTCCCCGGCCTTCCAGCGATGGTCGACCAAGCCTTCGGGAGGCTCTGGGGTGGCATCCGAAACCCACCTCCTCGGGGATCTGCAGAAAGGAAAATGCAGGGGGTGGGTGCAATGTGCAGACCCCCCTCCCTGGCCCCCCACACTCCTCACCCCTCCTTCTTTCTGGACTCTTAATATTTCTCCACCCTGATCTCAGCCCTAGGTCCCCTCGGACCCCTTCCCCAACGCCTTCCTCCCACCTGTGCCCTCATCCCTTCTCTGTCCCTTTGGTCACCTCCTGCCCTCTATCCTTGTCCCTGGATCCCTCTCTCCAGTTCTCTCAGCAGCGGCGCTCCCCTCTGGACCCCCAGCACCCTCCTTCCCGATACGACGCTCCTGTGACCCTCTGCCCCTCCAGACCTCAGCCTGGCCTGGGCCTCTCACCTGGAACACGTGGAAGCCCACAGTGAGGTAAGTGAGGCCCTTGGCCCTCAGACGCCGGCGGTTGCGCTGGATGAGCGACAGGAGGACCGTGCACTTGGGGATGCGGCCTCCCCTCGCTGGGCCCCGCGCCCCTGCCGCTCCCCAGCCCCCCCCAGGGTCCCTCTTCGTCGTCTTCATCCTCTTCCTCATCAGGCTCCAGCAGTGTCAGCCGGAACTGGGGGTTGATCCAGAAGGTTTCTGACAGAAGAGAAGGCGGTGGGGTCACCAGCCTGCCCTGGCCCCTACCCCGTCTTACTTCCCAGGAGCCCCCGGGCCTCACCAGCACTGGGCTGGCTCCCGCCGGAGTTGAAACCTCTCACCCAGCGACCCTGGAAGGTGTGGATGTGCCAGCCTCCGCCCGCAGGGCTGGGGCCCAGCACCTCAGGGCTCAGCGAACAGATCTGGACCGTGTTGAAGTGCTTGAGGAAGTCCTGAAGCTCCATCCTGGACAGCACCGACCATGAGAGATGCCCCACCACCCCAGATTCCAGCTTGAGGGACCCCAGAAGTGGTCCCCCAGCACTAAGCTCCCAGTTCCTTAAATACTACCAACTAACCTCCAATCTCCTGAAGCCCTGGGGCCTTGCCAAGGCATCCAAGTCCCCACAAATGCCCACGTCTGGGGATATTCACAAACTCCTCTCAAACATCTTCAGATTAACTTTAGAAAACCCCCAAGTAGGGCCAGGAAGATGGCCGTGAGGATGGAAGCTATTGTTGCCTGATGTTGTAGGATATTATTTTAACTGTGTAAAGGTGTGTTGTATTTGTTTCTGCTGCTTTTGTTAACGATGCAAAGACGTGTCACATTTGTTTGATTAAATAAAATTAACCTGGGGTCAGGAAGCTGAGTCAGCAACTAGGACAGGAAGTTGTGGGGAGGAGCTAAGTGTAGCAACGGAAGCTGAGCAGAAGGCTGGCCCCTTTATTCAGAGAAAAGATGGACTATGCCAGAGGCCAACTATGGAGCAAGAAGTAAAGAAAGACGTATAGAACAGAGGAAGTTAAAAGCCCAGAGGCAAAGGGTAGACAGGATAATTTAAGAAAAGCTGACTAGAGCTGGGTGTTGGTGGCACACGTCTTTAATCCCAGCACTTGGGAGGCAGAGGCAGGCGGATCTCTGTGTTTGAGGCCAGCCTGGTCTACAGAGCGAGTTCCAGGACAGGCTCCAAAGCTCACAGAGAAACCCTGTCTTGAAAAACCAAAAAGAAAAAAAAAAGAGAGAAAGGAAATGCTGGCTAGAAACAAGCTAAGGATGGGCATTCATAAGTAAAAAGTCTCTGTGTGTTTATTTGGGAGCTGGATCCCAGGCCCCCAAAGATTTACTTTTTACCAGTGAAAAACAAACCGACCCAGCTACAGCCTGTCAACCTGAGTATCCCAGCATCCCGCAGTGGAAGGAGACAGCTGACTCCCAGAGGTGTCATTCTGCCTCCATGGCTTACAGTCGTGCAGGACGCAATAAATACACAACTAGGAAATTAGTTTCAAGTTATGTGTGTATCTAAAGCCCCAAATGTCACTAGGCCTTCTCAAGACACCCCAAGTATGATTCTGTTCCCTTTAAACCCCCCCCCCCCCCAACATCAGTGTCTCCTAAATTCCTTTACATTCCTTCCATGGGCTAATCATGGCGGCTCATGTCCAGTGTCGGGAGACAGGTAGACAGAGTGCCATGAGTCTGAGGCTAGCTTGGTCTGCATAGTGAGTTCTAGGCCAACCTGCTCTCCCATGAGTTTCTCTGTGTCCTTTCTGGCCCGTGTCCCCCCCCCACAGACTGGGCCTCTCGGAACTCACCAGAACTCGCCATCCTCCTTTTTCACGAGCAGGGCATCCCGCCACTCAGAGGGGAGCATGTCCCAGCGCGGACAGCTGAGGAGAACAAATCTCGATGTAGGCTCATGGGACTGAGCCGCCACCCGCCCTAAGCCCGTCCCACCTGTCGCTCCAGGGCCCGGACCACTCCACACGGCCCCAGGGGTTCCTCAGCCGCAGCAGCCGCACCTTGGTGAAGCCCAGGGACATCTGAAGACAATGTCATCCGTGAGGGTGGCGTGGGGGGCATCCGTGAGGATGGCATGGGAACACCCTCCTTAGCCCAGCCCAGCGATGGGCGTGACTCACCTTGTGTGTACCTGTGACAGAGTATGCATGTCCCTTCACCAGGCCCTCATCTGTGCGGACCTCACCCCGGTCACTCTGAAAGAGGACAAGATTGAGAAGCCGGGGTGGGGGGGGGAGGCCAGCTCCTCTCTCTAGCCTCCCAACCCAGCTCCGTGCAGAAGCCCGGACCCTGGGTCACAGGCCTGTGATCCCAACTACACAGAAAGCCAAGGCAGGAGAATCACAAGTTCAAGACCAGTGTGGGTAACTTAGACAAAACAAAATGCAAACACTGTGTGTGTGTGTGTGTGCGCGCGTGTGTGTGTGCGCGCGCGCGCGTGCGTGCATGTGCGTGTGTGTGCACCTTGTCTGTAGAACACTGGCCTAGAATCTACTGGCGAGCATCTCGGGGGCAACAGCAGAAGAGAAAGCAGGACGTCCCGCTCCACTCCCACCACATCCGGGACTACGCGGGTCTATCGGAGGTCCGCATGGGGGCTCAGCTCTCACCAGCGCGGTGGCACCCACGAGGGACTCCTTGGCCAGTGCGTGGCGGAGGGCAGCAAAGAGACCTGGAGTGTTTTGTCTCAGGTAGAGGACCTCGCCCACGCCTCCTGTAAAGTCCACGAAAGCCTCGTTCATGTGGCCTCCTCGCATCACCTCGTACGAGCCATGGAGCCTGTCGGAGCAGGTGGAGGTGGTCTGAGGTACGTAGGAACATCCCAGCCCCTAGGTGTGGGGACTCAGTTAGGGTAGGGGTCCCGAGGAGCCACTCCCAATTATATAATATGTGCACATGTGTGTATATGTATGTATTAGTCTGTTTTTATGTGCATGGGTGTTTCACCTGAGTGTGTGTGTGTCTATACACCACGCATGTGCAGTGTCCATAGAGGCGTTAGGTCCTTGGTGCTGAAGTTACAGACAGTTGTGACTGGGAATCAAACCTGGAAAAGCAGCTTTTAGCCTTGAACTGTCCCTCCAGACCTCATCCCCAACATACCCCTTTTGTTTTTGAGACAGGCTCTTATTATGTAGCCTTGGCTGGCCAGGAACTCTGTGGACCAGGTTTGCCTCAGACTCACAGAGATCCACCTGCCTCTGCTGTCGGAGTGCTAGAAATAAAGGTGTCCAATGCCATGTTCACATAAATATTTTTTTGTTTTGTTTTGCTTTGTTTTTCGAGACAGGGTTTCTCTATGGCTTTGGAGGCTGTCCTGGAACTAGCTCTTGTAGACCAGGCTGGCCTCAAACTCACAGAGATCCACCTGCCTCTGCCTCCCGAGTGCTGGGATTAAAGGCGTACGCCCACATAAATATTCCAGTCTGACCTCGAACTTGTAATCCTCCTGCCTCGGTGTGCTCAGGACTATGATTATAGGCGTAGGCTACTGTGCCTGGCTCAGTCCCTGAAATATTCAGAGATGAAGTGGGGGAGCCCGTGGTCCCTAGGAACAAACTGTGCAAGAATTCTCGACCTTTCACGGACCTTCGAGGCTCTGGGAGGCTGTGGAGGCGATGCCTGTGGGCCACTTGTTAGGGCTTCGGAGCCTGACGTGGGAAAGGATAGGCTGTGGGCGTCTCAGTGGACCAGGAGAGATGAAATGAGGTTAAAGGCCTTTCAGGGAAAAGGATTTGGCAAACCCAGAGCCTGATAGATGGGTGGGATTTCAGGATCCTTAGGAAATATGGGTATCAGTGGGGTTCTAGGAATGTTTGCAGGAAATGTCAAAAGAAGAAGACCTTTAAGATTTGAAGGTTCACAGGCTGAGAATATGCCTCAGTGGTAGAAACCGTGCCTAGAATCCCCCAGTGAGGGGCTGGGGTTGTGGCTCAGTGGTAGATCACCTGCCTAGAATCCCCCAGTGAGGGGCTGGGGGCGTGGCTCAGTGGTAGAGCCCCTGCTGAAAATTCCCCTGTAAGGGGCTGGGGGTTGGCTCAGCATGAAGAAAGTCATGGGTTCCATCTCCTGCACACACACACACACACACACACACACACACTTTCTAAATTAGCCAGGGGTTGTGGTGCATGCCTGTAATCCATGTCCACAAGAGTCCAACCAAGGAGGATTATGAGTTGGAGGCCAGTGTGGACCACACAATAAGATGCTGACTGTAAGTAAATGAAGGCTGAGGATGTGGCTCACTTGGCACAGTGCCTGCCCGGCGTGTGGCGCACACCTGTAGCCCAGTACTCCTGGGGGAGAGGCAAGAGCGTCAGGTCAACTTCCTCCTTGACTACGTAGCTAGTCCCAGGGCAGACTGGGCTGTGTGAGACCTTTTCTCAATAGAGCATAAAATAAAATACTGAACAATGAAGGCTCTTCTAGGAAACCGTTGTGATATGAGGACCCTGGTGGCTAGGACTCGATTTAAGTTCCGTGTTTGTGTGTCTGGAGGACCCCAGATGTCAGTACTCCACAGGGCTAGAATCTGGGGTTAGAGCTGAGAGGGGCCGGCGTTCTTACTTGGCATAGGCCTTTTCCAGCAGAGGGGCCCAGAACTCATTCCTCTGTTCCGAGCGCACAAACATCAGCTTCCCCTCACGCACAGGCAGTCTGTCGTCAACCACCACATCCACCCAGCGGCCAAATTGCCAGAGCTAGTGAAAACAAGAGCAAAAGCAGGCTCAGCTTCCAGACCCTGCCTGAGTCTCAGCTCTCATGCTGCTTACCACTGCCCAAGTTCTGCAATCCCAGGCCCCAGGGAAGAATGGCAGCTGTGAAACATCATCGTCCTGCTGTCACGGGGGAAACCGAGGCATGGAGAGAGGAACTCAGCCCTACCTGAAAATGGAAGACCCCCGCGTAGCCGTCTTGGAAACCCTGTCCAGGGGGCACCACCCGGTACAGGAGTCTGGGATACAGGGTAAGTGAGGCAGCAGCCGCGAGGAGCCAGCAGTTTCCTGGGAGGAGGGAGGCTCAGTTTAGGTGAGGAGGGACCAAGGGTCCGGCAAACTCACGAGGATGGGAAGGTGACGGGGAGAAGGCAAAGGGGTGAGCTGTCCTGGCCTGGGCCTGGGAGCTCACCCAAGCTTCCCTGGCACACATCTGTTCTGCTCATGTCTTCACAGATGAACTGGGGTTCAGCACAAAACTCCTGGAAGATGATGACTCCAGTAAAGCCAGGAAAGGGAAGGTTGGAGCAGCTGAGAAGTCAGAGGCCCAGCCCCCTTCTGATGCCAGTATCCTAGATAATGAGGGCCTCCAACCCTGGGAAGGCCTGTGGGTAGGAGCCTGGTTTTCCTGGACACCCCCTCCCCACGGAACCTCATGGCTGAGCCTGCTGTTATCCACCCTGCCTCCTCCCTCAGACCCAGGAGTCCAGCCCCAGCCTCTTCCCTCAGACCCAGGAGTCCAGCCCCAGCCTCCTCCCTCAGACCCAGGGTCTAGGCCCAGCCTCCTCCCTCAGACCCAGGGTCCAGGCCCAGCCTCCTCCCTCAGACCCAGGGTCTAGGCCCAGCCTCTTCCCTCAGACCCAGGAGTCCAGCCCCAGCCTCCTCCCTCCGACTCAGGGGTCAAGAATCCAGGCTGCACCCTTCCTCCCTCAGACCCGGGGCCCAGGTCAGCCCCATTTTACATGGGGCCTCTTCCATTCCACCCCTTGCGCCTTCTCTGAGTCGGGTCCCAGCTTGTCATAGCCAAGGGCACCAGGACCAGCAGAAAAGCAAGGGTCACGAAACAGGATCCCGGCGTCCAGGCAGGCTGTTCGGATGGCTTCGTAGTTCTGGCCTTTAAAGAGCTGTGGGCCCCTGGCTCCAGCCCCGGCCCCGTCCTCCACCAGCTGGATGGTGACCTTCCTGTTGTCACTCGCCATCCGGACACTCTGAACTCACAGATGGACTCAAGCCCTTTAACCTCCTGAGTCACGAGGCGGGGACTCTACTCCATTTGTACCCCGCTGGGGGTCTTTAGGCAGCGAAGGCATTCTGTCTTGTTAATACTAATTGATGGTTTGGGGTGCAGGAGAGCAGGGACGCCTCTTCAGTGGTTTCCTCCCTGGGGCGGGGAGGCTTCAGTTGTGGCCAGTTTGGCAGTTTAATGACTGGCAGCACGACGGGAGGTAGGCAGACCTAGGACCAGCCGCCGGGCAGCGCCAGGAAGGAGGTCAACGTGGGGGTGTATTTCTGCCTGCTTGTCCTGTGGCCTCATCCCAGCCCCCGCCCAGCCAGCCTCCCTGCTTCCTTATCTGTTTCTTGGGGAGCAGTGCATGCCAGGGAAGCACTCTCTTCTGGAATGGCATCTCCAAACCTCCTTTTACTTCTTTACAGGGTCTCACTAAGTTTCCGGGACTAGTCTCGGACTCCCAATGCCCCTGCCTCAGGATCCCAAGTGACAGACCTACTGTGTTGCGTTTCTCTTTTGTTGTTTTAGATCGTCTTTTTTTTTTTTTCCGGTTTTCTTTTTCTTTTTTTTTTCTTTTTTTTTTTTTTTTTTTTGGTTTTTTTCGAGACAGGGTTTCTCTGTGGCTTTGGAGCTGTCCTGGAACTCACTTTGTAGACCAGGCTGGCCTCGAACTCACAGAGATCCGCCTGCCTCTGCTTCCCGAGTGCTGGGATTAAAGGCGTGCGCCACCAACGCCCGGCTTTTTTTCCGATTTTCAAAACAGGGTCTCTCAGTATAACAACTCTGGCTGTCCTGGAACTCGCTCTCTGTAGATCAGGCTGGCCTCAGACTCATGGGGATTTGCCTGCCTCTGTCTCCCGAGTGCTGGGACTAAAGGCGTGCGCCACCACCGCCGGCTGTAGCCTTCTGCGCTGGGGATCAAGCCCGGGCCTTGTGTGTGCTAGGAAAGTGCTGCGCCTTTGAGCTCGTCACAGGGAGACAATTTGTGTTTGGATTTGTTTGTTTGTTTGTTTTGCGTCAGAATCACACACACACACAACAGGTGACAAGAAGTGACAACGCATGCCAGCCCCCTAAAGGTTTTCATTTGTTTTTCTCTGTGTCTCATGTCTTTATGTATATGCTTATTTGGGTTTTTGGGGGGGGGATATTTCAGTTGTTTCCATTTTGTTTTGTTGTTTTTGTTTTTGAGAAAAGGTTTCACTATGCCCAGGCTGGCTTTGAACTCACAGAGATCTGCCTGCCTGGAACCGAAGGCAGGCGTCCCCACACCCAGCTTCTGCGTCTGACTTTGTCTTCCGTCTCCGGTCTTGTCTGTCGGCTCCCCTTTTTGACATTGTTGCCCGCATGTGGCCTCAGCCGCTCACCTCAGGACCCTGCTTTCCTTGCAGCTCGATCGGCTACCTCTCGGGCAGGGAAACATGGTCTAAGGTCACCCAGGCAGGACTGACAGTGCTCACCTGTGCCCAAGATGCTGGGGTCGCTTCCCCAGCTGAGCAGGGTCTGAGCAGCAGGCAGGGGGTTGGGGGATCCTTGGCAAGGCGGAAACTCCCCTTTTAGGAACCTAGTCACCAGTCAGGTCTCAGCTACATAGCAAATACCAGGCTAGCCTGGACTACAAGACAACAAAGAAAACGCCACGGATTTTTCTTCCTGTGCAGTTGCCGGGATCACACAAGGCTTCCACCCGACAGGTATCTGGTTCAAACTTGAGCCACTTATGACTGTGTGTCTGAAGCTGGGTGTACGTTTCCTGTGATTCCAGCGCTTGGGAGGAAGAGGCCAGAGAAACCCGAGCTCCAGGCCAGCCTAGGCTGAACTGTGAGGCAAAGGACTGTGTGCCTTGGGCTGAGCCACGGAAGTGCCACGTGCGTCAGTTTCTTCAAACAGTAGTGGGTATCCGTAGCTTGTCTTCCTGTCAGGGCTGGAGATGAATGTGGGGTCTCCAACATGCTTCTCCAGCCTCTTCCACGTCCCTACCTCCCGAATCCACAAGTCTGCTATTGTGAGATCCCAGCATCCTCTACATTTATCCCCCTGCAATCCGTACAATTAGCATGTTTAGGAATGAACCAGTCAGTGGCTTATTCTCTAGTCCCGTGGCTTTCCTAGAGGCTGGCACCGCCCCTCAGACTCAGACCCGCCAATTACAGTGCTGCAGCCTCTGGTCACGCCCAACCACGCCCCTAGTGCTTTCCTTCCCAGGACGTCTTGGCTTAACCACTCTTTCTCCGATGTTGCTAAATTAGCTAAAACAAACACAGAGCGCTAAGACTACCTTGGAGAATGAGAGTGAGAAGTAAGCACAGCCAAGCGATGGGGAGACAAGATTCCCCGGAGCGTGAACCCCCGCTCCAGGTGTCCAGGGGCGCCTGCCAGGGCTGTCGCCTGTTTTTGAGACAGTTTCACTGTTCTGGAGACAGGACTGACTCTTAGCTCATAGAGACCCATCTGCGTTTGCGTCCCGCGTACTGGGATTAAAGATGCGCACTGCTACATCCAGCTGTAATGAGGATGTTCCTCGGAACGAATTACCCAGTAGTGGAGCTGTGCCGGCCACCTCCTGCACTTGGTAGCTGCCAATACCCGCCAAATACAACTGATGCTCGCATAAGACAAATTTGGCTTAATTCAGGGCGTTAAGCCTGTGCTTACAGGCTGGAGACTTAGCTCAGTTGGTAAAATACCCGCCCAGCGTGTAAGAAGCCCTGGGTTTCATCCCAACACAGAATAAACTGGGCTCAGGTGCACGCCTGTAATTCCAGCACCCAGGAGGCGAAGGAAGGAGCTTCAGGAAGGCGATTCTTGGTTACATACGGAGCTGGCTACATGGGTTTGAAAATGAAGCCCGGATGGTGAGCAGAGCTGGCATGAAACTGCCCCAAGTGACACAGGCAGGCAGGAGCACAGCCACACAACCTGTTCTGTGAGTCCATGAGGCCACACCTTTGTGCTCTGAACGCACCTTTCACGAAAGGTTCGTTTGAGGTCAACTTGACCTTGTCCTCGGAAAACCACACTCCGGCAGCCCCAGACATGGCTTCAGGGACTACTCCATGAAAGACAATGCACAGGAAGCCCCAAGATGTACTAGATTCCTGTACTCTGCTCGAAGAAGGGCAGACGGAGGTAAAATATTTTTCTTTTTTAATTTATGTTTTGCTTTATGCCCTTTGGTGTTGTCATGGGTGTCGGGTCCCCTGGAACTGGAGTTACAGTCAGATGTGAGCTGCCATGTGTGATGGGGAAGTCCTTCTGTGTATACGTCTCTTATTGGTTGATAAATAAAGCACTGTTGGCCAATAGGGAAGCAGGATAAGTGGGACTAGGAGTCAAGGAGGATTCTGGGAAACGTAGAAAATGTAGGAAAGAGTAGGGAGTTGCCATGTGATCCCAGAAAGAAAGGATGCATGAGGCTGGCATCTTCGGTAAGATAAGACCTTATACAAATACACACACACACACACACACACACTCTGAGACCAGGATGGCAGGAAGAATGTTCGTTAACACATGTGGGTGGCTGGGAAATATTTATTTATTTAATTTTGGTTTTTCGAGACAGGGTTTCTCTGTTAAGCTTTGGAGTCTGTCCTGGAACTTGCTTTGTAGGCTGGCCTCGAACTCACAGAGATCCACCTGCCTCTGCCTCCCGGATGCTGGGATTAAAGGCGTGCGCCACCACCACCTCAGAGGATGCTGGAAATTGAACCCCGGTCCTCAGTGTTCTCAAATGCAGAGCCATCTCTCCAGCCCTGTATCTAAAATATTTTAGCCAGCATTGCGAACCAACTCACGAATGTGAACTCATTTTTAACATTCACCATGCCAATTAATAAGCCATTGAATACAGAAATGGAAACCCATTTCTAAACTCCCCTGTGCTGAGTCACTAAGGCTGGTGGTTCTGATAGTTGAATAATGGAAGCCCTTGTCACAAACGCCTGTTTAGTTTTTTTAAAAAACTGGTGGTGTGAGGGGCTGGAAACATGACCCAGTGACCAAAAGCACTGTTTGCTCTTCCAGAAGACCTAGATTTGGTTCCTAGCACCCACATGGCAGCTCACAACTGTCTGTAACTCCACCCAGGGGATCTGATGGTGTCTTCTGGCTTCCTTTAGCGCCTGGTGCAAATACATGCAAGCGGGCAAAAAAACACTCATGCATATAAAGTTAAAAAACCTTTAAAAATTTGAATGTGTGGGTTAGGCTTGGTGGCGCATGCCTTTAATCCCAGCACTCAGGAGGCAGAGGCAGGTGGATATCTGTGAATTCAATGCCAGCCTGGTCTACAGAGTGAGTCCCAGGACAGCCTGGTCTACAAAACAAGTTCCACATCAGCCAAGACTACATAGTAAGACTTTGTCTCAAAAGAAATGGTTTTGTGTGTGTGTGAGAGAGAAAGAGAGACAGAGACAGAGAGACAGACAGAGACAGAGACAGACAGACACAGACACAGAGACACAGAAAGAGGGACAGAGAGACAGAGAGACAGAGACAGAGACACACACAGAGACAGAGAGGCAGAGAGAGACACGCGCACGCGCGCGCGCACACACACACACACACACACAGAGGAGGCCATGTGAGCTCTCTTCTATCGCACCCCACGTCATTCCCTGAGACAGGGTCTCTGGCTGAACCTGAGCTCGGCTGGCCACTGGCGAGCCCACAAGCCCGAGAGACTCTCCTGCCCCGTCCCTGCTGCACTGAAGCTGCAGGTGTCTGTCTGCTCGGGAGAGCGCTGCATGTGGCTCCGGCGACCTTAGCGATGCCCCTTGTTTGTCTGTTGAGAAGGACACTGCTGTGAGGTCGTGAGCTGTCTTTCCTCCTGGCACCGTGCCCTGAGTGCTGGAATCGCAGAAACGTGCCACCAAATCCCGTTCCCCATTTGGCTTCTGATGCACTGCTGGCTGACCTCACTGGGACAACTGCTGGCCCCTAGCAGGTAACTTTAATGGCACTGGCATTACCGTGACATAGTAGATGGAGTTCCTGAGAAGCAGACTCCGAGGGGAAGCGAGGAGGGCGGGGAGCTGGGGGAAAA